AGATTTATTCTATTTTGGCTCTTACCTGGAGTATCCCACTTCCCATTACCTACTAGTAGAAAACTGGGTTTAGCAATCATTTACATCATATTGAAACTTTTTAGACGTTGGTCTAAGTACATGGCTACCACAAGGAACCAACGTCATTGCCAAAGACAACAATTGGGTCTATTTGGACGATGGTTATGCAAGCAATTGTAATATATAATACCATCAGGCATCGTGATCGACAACTCCCTAGAGCCCCACGTAGAAATTAGGATTCTGAAAGAGAAATGACACTTCGACGGATGTTTGGTACGAGTGATAGAATTTGTCGTAACCTACTGAGGATGAAGATAACTCTGTTTCAAAGTTTATGTGCTCGTTTACGAACGTATGGTTTGGTTGATAATAGATCTATAACAGTAGAGGAACAAGTGGCTATCTTTCTCAACACCGTTGGACATGACCACCGTAATTGAACTGGAAGTTTTACGTTCTTTAGATCTGGTCAAACAATGAGTTATGACTTCCATAGAGTTTTACAGGTTTGCCTTAGATTGTACAGAGATGTTGTGAACAATGCGACTATTCATAACTCACCGTACGAGAAGGATAAGGAAAAGCCATGGTTCCAATATTTTCAGGTTAGGTGGTAATATTTAACTTCGTTTATTTTTCCTTTCACGATCACTATTCCTATTGTAACCAAACTTTTTTGTTTTCGTATTAGGATTATGTGGGGTCAATCGATGGTACTCACATTCCTGCTTTTGCCCACGTAGAGGAACAAGCGAGGTATCGCAATAGGAAGCAAATGATAACTCAGAATGTTTTGGTTGCTTGCACATTTGATATGAAGTTTACGTATGTGCTTGCCGGTTGGGAGGGATCCGCCCACGACGGTAGGTTGTTAAGGAGTGCAACTTTACGACAAGGTCATGGCTAACAATTCCTGTTGGTAAGATCTACCATTTTGTTTATTAATTTGACTTTCACCTCTTTCAATAAAGAACGACAACTTACCAACCATGTGTGGAATAGGTAAATATTATCTTGCCGATGCCCGATTTCCATTGGTTCCGGGATTTCTAGCACCCTATCGCCGAACTCGGTACCATCGTAGAG